GACCTGTGACATTTGTCTCCTTAAGCAAACTAACATTTCAGAGAAGAAAAGATTTTGAAGGACATTTTAATGAACCTCTGAAAAACCAACTAAAACCGCTGGGACTTCTCGGACTCTCTTTCTTCCCCTCTGACGATACAAACCCCAGTGCAGCCACATTTCTTTGGAACATGTGGTTTAGGCTGTGTGTTCCCCAATCCACAAATTGTTGATCAAATGAAAAATCTCTAGTATTGTTCTTGAGCCCTGGTGGGTCAGTGGTTAAAGCCATCGGCTGCTAACCGAAAAGTCAGTGGTTAGAACCCACCAGCCACTCCACGGGAGAAAGATGTGGCAGTCTACTTCCATAAAGATTTACAGCCTTGGAAACCTTATGGGGCAGTACTCTGTTCTTTAGGGTTGCTGTAAGTCAGAATTGACTCGACGGCAATGGGTTTGGTTTTTTAGTATTGTTTTTAACTTTGTTTCCATTCTCAGAAATTATTTTACAAAGGTCACATGCATTTCAACATTCTGACAGAAATTGCCAGACTTCCCACTGAAAATGTCGTCTGTCCCACCGACATGTATGCCAGGGAATGAGTGCTGGTGCAGCTCGTTGCAGTAGGGTGCTGAGCAGTGGGGGTAGAGGAGAGAGAAGCCCTCAATGGCAGGGAAGCATCCATTTGAGCCAGTCTGAGAGGAGCTCCAGGAGTTTGGCCAGCGGAGGAAGGAGGACATCCTAGGCGGAGAAAACAGCCTGTTCAAAAGCATGGAGGCATGAAAGATGTTTGCATCAGCCACTATCTGGAGGTGTGACCTTGGGCACATCTATCCTGCTTTTCAGAAAAACAGAACAGAAACAATGGGACTGGCAAACATTATGAGTATCCAAAGAGATAATTTAGACGAAAGACCTTGGAAACACATGAGGGCAGAAAGCATGGCTCACATGAAGGAGATGCGGAGGGCTGTTGTGCCCAGCACAGCCCTAGGCTGAGGAGGGGTTAGGAAGTGTTAGGAAAAGAAGGCAGGAGGCCATGTGTTAGGAGTTAGGAGCCTGGGTCCCAGCCTCAAACGCCTCTGTGAGCGGGGAGCAGAGATGGAGGACTCTACTCCAGGGAATTAAGATCCTGCCCAGAGGGGGAGCAGTTCCCTCCTGGTTAATAGCGTCAGCAATACTGTCCTCCAGCTCCACTCACGCTTCATAAACCATCTTCAGCTAAGAAAAATGCCGACTTCCTAAGGGACTAAAGCAAGGGATTTGAGAGATTCAGGAAGTATGAAGAAACTTTCTTTCCTTCCTTCCTCCCTCCCTTCCTTCTTTCTTCTTTTCTCCATTTATTGAGCACCAGTATGACTTTGGAGCCCTGGTGGTGCAGTGGTTAAGAGCTCAGCTGCTAACCAGAAGGTCGGCAGTTGGAATTCACCAGCCACTCCTCGGAAACCCTATGGAGCAGTTCTACTCTGTCCTCTAGGATCGCTATGTGTTGGAATCGACTCAATGGTAATGGGTTTGGAGTAGGACTTTCCTTCTTTCTAGGGCTGGGAGCAATGGCTTTAATGTAGAATAATCACTCTGTTTGTATTTTGGATGATTGCTCCTAAGAGTGGCTTTTAAGAGTCCCACAAATCAAATACAGTTTGGCCTGCTAGCGCCTGTGTTTGCACACAGTTCCCTGGCTATTTAAGCTCTTTTTATGTTTACACACAGGACATCAAGCTGCTTGGTCTGGTGGAGGTAGTACTTTTAGCAGCTCCGGGAGATTGAAGACTAAGGCTTGGTGTGCTTGCTCCACCTCTGGTGCTTGGGGGAGGTGGTTGAGGGGGTGGTGTGGTAACAGACTAAAGGGGAGAAGGGGGAGCAGTTAGAAGATTTTGCTACAAAGTAGGTGAGAGACAATGAAGACTTGAAAGCAGCAGCAGAGCTAGAGGGAACACAGAGAAGGAGATAGATTCAGGTGAATTTTAACAGAAGTGCCTTGTGAATGCTGGGCTGCTCAGAGAGAGAGGTCTAGGGCAAGGCAGGTTTCTGACGCTGGTGGCTGTGCAGATGGTGTTGTCACCACCAGGACAGGAAATACAAGAGGCAAAACAGGTTTGGGGGAAGGGAAAAATAATGAGTTCCATTTGGAACATTTATTCATTAGATCCTTGGGCTTTTCTAGGTGGTAGGTACTGTCCAGGAACAAGAAGTAAACAAGAGAAACAAAGTCCCTGCACTCCTGAAGTTTACATTCCAGGAGTGGACGGTTGGCAAGAAACAAACAAATACATCAGCAAAGTAACTGCAGAAGCTTATCTTGGGAAATTGAATGGAGTCATGTGATAGATTGTGCTTGAAGGCTGGTCAGGGAAGGCTTGTGTGTCATTTGGGGAGACCCGAGGTTGAGATGATGCCAGGCAGAGTTTGACCGTGATCCAGGGGCAAACAAATAGAGAAACCGTCTGGATATAAAAGCCTGGAGCTCAGAAGAAGTCTGGGCTGGAGATGATCAGAAAATATAGGCCAAAAAGCATATTGCAAAATACATGCAGCATAGAATACTATTTATAGAAAGATCAAAAATACACAAAGTGATATTAGGAGTACACAGGTTTTGCGCTGTTCTGATCTTTTTTATTTTTTATTTTCCCTAAGCTGGGTGGTGAGTCCAGGGCTGTGAGATGTAATTTTTGTACCTTTTTGCACATCTTAAATATCACAAAGCAAACTAAAAATAACCAGTTGCCTGTCCAGTCTATTAGGACTCATGGTGACTCGTGTGTCAGAATAAAACTCCATAGGGTTTTCAATGACTGATTCTTCAGAAGTAGATCACCAGGCCTTTCTTCCAGGCGCCTCTGGGTGGACTTCTTTTTAGTTAGCAGCTGGGCGCATAAACCGTTTACATCATCGGAAAATCCTTGTTGCCATGTAGTGGATTCCAACTCACAGCGACCCACCAGTGGCTCTGCAGGAGAGATATGTGGCAGTCTGCTTCTGTAAAGATTACAGCCTTGGAAACCCTGTGGGGCAGTTTTACTCTGTCCTACGGGTCGCTCTGAGTTGCACCATCCAGGGATGAAAAATAAAAAAGCCAAGTCCAAAGGCCTCGGCAAAGCCGGATTTTGCCGCCTCTGGGTGGAAACGGGAACGCTGCAGCCTTAAGCGGGACCAACTCCCTGCATTCGCTGGCTGGGCCCGTCCCTCCCCTCCGGGCAGACCCCCCGCCCAGGCTGTGCAGTCACCCGGCCCGCGTGGGCTCTCCGGCCTATGGGCGCGCAGGATCCCGGCCGACACCCCCGCTGCGCCCGCCCTCCGCTTCGCGCCCCGCCCCTGTGGCTCGCGCCGCCGCTCGACGTCAAGGCCCGGCCCCCGCCACGTGACGGCCGCGCGCCGGCTCTCGCTCGCGCCGGGCTCGCGCCGCTGAGGCTGCTGAGGCGCCGGCGGCGACGCCGGGAAGGCGCGGACTGAGGGGCTTGTGGTCGGTTCGTGCGCACATGGCGGCGGCGCAGACGGACGCCTGAGGGGTAGCGGGAGAGCGGACCGGCGACCTCGAGCATTCCTCAAGCCCCACGCGGCTGCGGCACCGGCGGCGACGGGCCGCGGAGCTGGCGCGGCCATGGCGACGGGCGCTCAACAGAAGGAGAACACGCTGCTCCACCTCTTCGCCGGCGGGTGAGCGTCCCCGGCGCGTTCGCGGACCCCCGCTGGCCTGGCCCACCCCGCCGGGCCTTCGCCCGCCTCGCCCCTCGCTCTCCCCCCGCGCCGGTTATCAGCCTTGCCGGGCGAGTCGCGGCGCCCAGAGGAAGAGGAGGAAGTCCGAGCCAGGTGGCAGGTGGGGAGGCCCCGGGCCTGACGCCATCGCCCGGATCGCACCCCCTGGGTGATTTCACCAGGCGTGGGTCGCGCTCCTGACGCCACCTCGCGTCTCACCTTTTCATTTTTTTAAACAATTAAGTGGCTAGTGTGAGCGAACGTCCCAGGGAGTGGTTCTACCCGGCCACCGTGCCTCGTCCGCCCGCTTGCCCTGCCCGCCGTCCTGGCCGTCTCGAACTCGCTGCACCTCCGCCGGGCGGCTTCTCGAGGGCTTTACCGGCCAGCGTTTCAGAGCCGGTGATGGTTTGGCTAATGCCCACGTTCTAACAGGGGCTCTTCGGCGCAGGGCAGGAGCTGTTTCAGACAGTCAGAGGGACTGCAGGGGTTGGACATCAGCAAGGGCCTGAGAAGTGCTGGTGACCCGTGATGCTGGCAGCAACCTGTGGTTAACGGGGGACCTCGGAAGAATGCGAGGAGGTCAGGAAGGTGTGTTGAAATGTTTCTCACCTGGTAGTGGATGCTTCCAACACCGGAGACAGAGTAACTGTCTGAGCTGCATTAATTTGATAATTATGCATCATACATGTGTTCAACGAAGGCAGCACTTTTAGGGAGCAGGGGACCTAGGAAGGGAGCTGATTTTTTTTTCAGAAATGGAATTAAAATATGTTTGATATTTAGTAATTTTTTTTTTCCTTTTTATCACAGCCATTGGCTTTTGGAGTCTATTTGCTGGCCTCACAGGCCAGGCACAGCATTCTGCATAAAATAGAATTTATCCTGTATTATCATCTTGACTTGAGTTTTTTAGATGCAGCTTGGACTGCTACCTAAATATGCTACCTAATTATGGTTGAGAAACTTATTTTCAGAGATAACTATGATGAAAGTGTTCTTCCTGAGCCCTTCCTACTTTTTGTTGTAGGTGAGCAGTAAGTTCTCCAACCAGAAAACTTTGGTGGTTCTTCATGAATAAGAAGAATTTCTCATTCGTCTCCTCCCTGCCTTTCTCTATTAAACTATCCCTCCACCTCCCCATTGTTATTTCCTTTGGAAGTAACACAAGGAGGAAGAATTCTTAAATTAAAATACTTGTTATATAAATTTTTAATTCTTGGGAATTTTAAACAAGTTGACCATATTATTAAAGCTTCACACATTTTTAAAGCCAAGAGAGATAATTAAAAAAAATTTTGTTTTAATGCTCAGTTGAGTTTGATTTACTGTTTTCAGTGAGTTGATCTTTTTAAAAAGGCTTTGTATTTCAAACTGGAGTGTTCAGTGCTCTGGAGCAGTCTGTGCTGAGGCTCCTGCATAATTTGGTCTGCTGTCTTGATGAATCTCTAGTGCCCTTCACAGTGCCCTCTGGCTGCTGCTGCTTGACAGGAGCAGCCAGCCTCTTATCTTGTGATGGTGGAAAACTGCAGTGGCCCAGACAGCTCTCCTGGTTGATGGAGCTGTGGATAGTCTATTAGTAGTGCCTGAAGTTACTGTATTCAGCAGGTTTCAGTTTCTTCAATAGTAGCAGTTCAGGATAAGTAGGTACTTAAGAAAGAAAGTACATCTTCCAGAAAAATGTTTTTAGAGTAACTAAGTGGATTTTGATCACGTCCCACTAGCTTAAAATATATTCAATTTCTTTTTAGGGTAGAACATTAAAGGAGCAGAGTATTGAATGGATATATTATATAGTTAAAATTAGTTAGCCCAGTGGTCCCTCCAGGTCTGGGTGAAATACTCTCTGCTTTCCTCTAGGTAACTAGTTTCCACTGTCGTTAAACTGGCATCTTTCCAGAGAACTAAGTTCACTTCCTTTGAAAAGAAGTCACAGCCTCTGCTTTTAATATCTGTCATAGCTCTCCTGTTTATTGAATAGCCATTGGAAATTATAATAAGTTTAAGCTATCACCAATCAATGATATTGAATAAATATATTTTATCAGGTATATAGGCTTATGAATAGTTGTAATTAGTTTTCGATCATGGAAAATAGAAACTATACAGTATCAAAACAACTCACGGTCTTTTTAATTTCATTAATTTTTTTTTAAGTCAATTTCTTGGATTCTTTGTAAAGGGGAAAATACTACATGAACCTGTGATAGTCTTATTTTTAATACAGTGTATTGTCCTTTAAGAAGAAAGAATTTACATAACCAATTGGCATACAACAAGACTGAGAATTGAATACCTATGTTCTCTAATTTGAAGGTATGATTCAGTTTGTAACATTTTAGTTTAGTACTTGCTGGAATAAACCTATTGCATGAGTTGCAATTTGACAGTGTTACCAAACTGATGGAATAGCAAGTTATTCTAATGTTACAATGCCTGATATATGTGCTGTGTCATGTTTTTAAGCTGTGCAACCATTCTCACCCTCTTTTTCCTAGTTGTTCTTCCTCCATTAACATAAGTTCACTGACCCCTAAGTTTCCTATCTAATCTTTCAAGTTGCTGTTGTCAGTTTGATACCATGTACAAAACCCCATTGCCATTGAGTCAATTCTGACTCATAGCGACCCTATAGGACAGAGTAGAACTGCCCTATAGGGTTTCCAAGGAGTGGCTGGTGGATTCAAACTGCCGACCTTTTGGTTAGCAGCTGTTGTTTACCATAACTCTTAACCACTGTGCCACCAAGGCCCCTGATACCGTAGAGCTATATCTTAAAAGAGCTCAGTGCTCAAGGCAGACATTCTTTCCTAGTTAAGCTAAACTATTGTTTGGTTTTAAGAAGACTTCAGGGGATATTTTTGGTTTAAGTTTTAAAGATTATGTCAGGGCAGAAGTTTCAGGGGTTCATCCAGCCTCAATGGCTCCAGAAATCTGGATTCCATGAGAATTGGAAATTCTGTTCTACATTTTCCCCCTTTTTATCAGGATTATGCTATAGAATCTTTGATCAAAATGTTCAGTAATGGTAGCTGGGTACCATCCAGTTCTGGTCTCATGGCAAAAGAGGAAGTTGTTCATGAAGGCAATTAGCCACACATTCCATTTCCTCCTCCTATTCCTGACTCTCCTTCCTCTGTTGCTCTAGGTGAATAGAAACCAGTTGTTGTACTTTGGATAGCTGTTTGCAAGCTTTTAAGATCCCAGGCACTACACAACAAACTAGAAGGTAGAACAGAAGCACTAAACACTTGATTAGGCCAATTAACTGGGATGTTCCATGACATATAGAGTTTTAATGGCAGCATAGTGGATATTCTATGAGTGTACCACTTAACCATTTGCAGTCGAGTCAATTCTGACTCATGGCGACCCCGTGTGTGTCAGTAGAAGTGTGCTCCAAATGGTTGATTTTTCAGAAGTAGATCACTAGACCTTTCTTCCAAGGTGCCTCTGGGTAGACTCGAACTGCCAACCTTTTGGTTAGCAGCCGAGTGCTTGCACCATTTCTATTCAGTGCCTAGGTCATGAGGATATAGCACTGAAGAAGACAAGTGATTGTGGAGTTCAGTGAGGATGTTTTAGTAACTTACCACAGAGTTTTTATTCTGATTACATAATTTTTGTCTAATCTCCCGTGATTGCTAATTTTTTGCTAGTATTAATAACTGGACATCTTATGTGTACTTCTCTAATTATTTTCTCAGGCTAAACCATTAGAAGTAAAATTGCTGAGTCAAAACATTTTTTGAGGCTCTGGTACCTAAGCAACACATTCATAAACGATTTCTCAGGGTAGGGTGCTTCTGCGTGAACGGACTTCGTTCGTTTGATGGTGATTTTTATGGTCTTCTTTAGGGTTTCTGCTCTCTTCTCTCCTACCCCCAAGTTTGACGTCTAGATGTTAAAACAAAAATTTCCACTTTCCTCACCCCAAGATCTAGGTAGCATTGTTATCAAAACAAAAGTGTACTCAAAGAGATTTTCTTGTCACTACATGACAAGCAAAACCTATAATTCCTTTTCTACTGTTGAAGCTAATTAAGAAAAACAGTGAAATCATCCTAAGTGGCTCTTATGTGTGTAGTCTTTATTTGCTATTGAAAGAAATACCTTAAAACTTTCCCTGTCCGATGACTTGAGGTTCTAGTTGCCCACAGAGTGTGAAGGATGTCCTTCATCTGCTGAACAAGCAGTAACATAATGGGGCAGCGACTTACGAGATCTCCACGGTACCTGAAATAGCTGGACTGAGCTGTAAGCAGATTTGGAGGGCGATGGCCTGGATTACATGTTTAGGTCTTATTTTTATGGCATGATTGTTTTGTTTTGTCATCAGATATACTTATATGGCCTGTAAAATGTGTTTTAATGGGAATGTGGTATGTCTTTAAGGTTTTGAAATATATAATCCACAGATGTTTTCAGAATTCAGTATTTTTTCTCCTACTGTGGACAACTGTTGCTAGGTGTACACATACACTGTGCTTGTTCCTACATATTTAATGTTCATCAACTGATGGTTACTTTTAAAGTGTTAGGGAGTACAGAGATGGTGCCTGTTGACGTATTTGCTAGGGGAACAGCATTGAGAAGATGCAAGAACATATTTGAATCACTTAAACTCTTGTTGTTGTTAGGTGCCATCAAGTCGGTTTCGACCCAAAGCGACCCTGTGTACAACAGAACGAAACCTTGTCTGGTCCTGTGCCATTCTCATGATCATTGTTATGCTTCAGCCCGTTGTTGCAGCCCCTGTGTCGATCCATCTCATTGCGTGTCTTCCTCTTTTTTGCTGACCTCTGCTTTAGCAAGCATGATGTCCTTCGCCAGGGACTGGTCCCTCCTGATAACATGTCCAAAGTATGTGAGACATAGTCTCACCATCCTTGCTTCTAAGGAGCATTCTGGCTGTACTTCTTCCAAGACAGATTTCTTCATTCTTTTGGCAGTCTGTGGTATATTCATTATTCTTTGCCAGCACCATAATTCAAAGGCATCAATTCTTCTTCTGTCTTTCTTATTCATTGTCCAGCTTTCACGTGCATATGAGGTGGCTACAAACACCATGGCTTGGGTCAGGCCCATCTTAGTCCTTAAAGTGACATCTTTGCTTTTTAACACTTTAAACATGAGTTCTAACTGCCTTTTGGAAGATTTATTTATAGTAGTAAAACTCTTTAAATGCTTTCTTGAAAACTTTAGGTGTAATTTTTTGGGAGATAGAATCATTTAGTAGGCTTTCAGTTGTAAGTAATAGAAAATTTACTTCAAACTGGCTTTAAACAGTAAGGAATTCTTGGCAAATATATCTGAATTCTAGAGGAAGAACAGGCTTCAGGTGAAGGTTTATCTATAAACTCAACAATGTCACTGTGGTATCTGCTTTATTCTAAGCCCCCCCCACCACCACCATCATGGACACAAAATGGATTCCAGTTGCTCCTGTTTCTCCAACCATTGAACAAGTCTTGAGCTTAACTCTCATTGGACCAGTATGGGTGCATGTCCCCATCTCTGAACAGATAATGTGGCAGAACCAAAACCAAACCCGTTGCCGTCGAGTCGATTCCAACTCATAGCAACCCTGTAGGACAGAGTAGAACTGCCTCATAGTTTCCAAGGAGCACCTGGTGAATTCAAACTGCCGATTTTGGTTAGCAGCCATAGCTCTTAACCACGACTCCAGCTGGGTTTTTGATAATGTGGCAAGGTGGATGGTATTTTGTTGGCTTAAGTGAGTCAGGGCTAGAACTAGAGATGGGTTTTGATCCCATTCAAAGTGTACAGCTTCAGAAATTTGGGGTCTTTTTAAGACAGGAAGAGAGGGGTGGATGCTGGAGAGGCAATCAACAGTGCCCACCACGTCAGTTATACTGCCTTTAAATATATTGTCCATTTTATTGGACTAGTACAGTGTTTCTGAACCTTGGCTGGATAATCCTTTGTTGTGGGGACTGTCCTGTTTAGGATATTTAGTAGCATCCCTGGCCCTACCCACTAAGTGCCAGTACTTGATGGCAGCTGGTTATTATACATATTATAAAACAAACAGAAAATAGAAATGATGGAGATTATTAATAAAATGAAATGGAAATTGTATTTTCTTTCTGTACTCTCGTGGCTCATTGTGCATGTCTCTTGGAGTATGCACCCCACTTTGGAGATTAATGGTCTAGCATATTGGTGTCCAGTCAGATTCGTCAGTTTCCCAGCCAACCATGTGATGCTACACTGTGTCACCCAGATGTTGAATGTGACTTCCTGTTGTCTGAGCACTGGCTACTAGGGTTGGCTGAACCCAAGAGATGATTTTTGGCCCACAGTTGAGAAAACACTGTGATAAACAATTTAGGGTGTATGTTATCATGATTTTAAACTAGGTTTACCTAAATAGCTATAAGTCGGAGCCAACTCAGTGGTACCTAACAACAGCAACAACCTAAATAGCCAAAAATGGCTATTTTCCTCTCCTCTCCTTCCCCCTTCACCCCCAAATCCGTATATTTCAGTCTCTTGTTCTGACATTCATGTTCCTCATTGTAAATTGACACTAAATAATAGTTCATAACATTTTTAGAGGATTAAATGCTTGTCATAAAGTAATCATTCAATAAACAGCAGCAGTGACTGTTATTTAACCAGTAGCTTCTAGCTCTTAGTTATCAGGATTTACTTGCTATATACAACTGTCGGCTTCTGATTTTAAAGTACTCCTGGGAGTTTTACTTCATTCATTATGTCTGGGTCTGTGAGGTGCTGGGTTTGCTTCCAAATTTCCAACACTTAGTGCTGGTGGAGTAGAGAAGTTAACTTACATATCCTATGTGCGCCCAGACCTTCCTTCCTTTCTTTCAGTCAGAGATGCTGGTGCTATGTCATTTTTATTGACTCATCTGTTGTGGGTCAGGTACTATATACTCTTAAGTCCTAGAATATGTGAATACACAGTCCGCCTGCCCTAATCGCTCTCAGTCTAGTGGGAGAGATGACATCTGATAGAAGGTATACCTATGCCAAACAAGAAAATTTAATCAATAACATGTTCCCAAAAAGCCTTATTAAAAGGTTGAGGCCATTCCAATTAAGGAGTACAACTGAATAAAATCTCATTGATAGTTGAGTGGAGAAAGATTGTACTAGTGAAATGCTTAAAATATAGAATATACTTTATTTCAGGTTTGTAGAGTAAGTTCTTGAATTAATTCTTAGCATTCTTGCCAAGGACAGCAGTGGTGGTTCAGTGGTAGACTTCTCGCCTTCCATGTGGGAGACCTGGGTTTGATTCCAGGCCAGTGCCCCTCAAGTGCAGCCACCACCTGTCTGTCAGTGGAGGCTTGCATGTTGCTGTGATGCTGAACAGGTTTCAGTGGAGCTTCCAGACTAGGACCCTGTGGATCACAACAATCCGATCCTATTGTGCACGGAGTTGCCGTGACTCGGGCTGACTCAACAGCAGCTAACAACAATTCTTGTCAAATAGAAGCTCTGAGAGTTTGTTTTAATGAAAAATGAATACATTTATAGTTTACCAATTACTTGTGTGCTGTGTAACTTGCCTAGAGACTAAAATGATGCTGTCAAAAGTAAATGCTATTTTCACATATTTAGATATCTTAAAAGACATTCTCCTTGAAATCTCAGTTTAATAATTCCTTAGCATAGCAAATACTGTTTGTGAACCTAATACTGGGGATACAAAGGTGAATAAGACACGGGTCAGGAACTTAAATTGTTGAGCAGTATTTTCCAAAGAGTAAAAAGTGTATCACTAGCGGTATATAGGTGGTGATTTCAGTTGATACGTGATGTTGCGAATTATAACTAGCCATCAAATATGTAATTTCGTGGACGTTATTGCTTAGGGAAAGATGAAGGTAGGTATTTTAGAATAAAGAAATGAGTTGTTTTGAAGAAAATATTTAAATAGTAATTCAGGTCATATTTCAATATCAGCAGCTTATAAAGGGCAGTGCTTAAATGACTGACATCAGGGAACACTAGCCCAGAGCTATGTGTCAGTAATGGGGACACGGGATGAATTGATTACTTCTGACTGAGGGAATCTCAAAAACTTTTATTGTTAAAAGTAAGCTTTAGCTTAATTTTCAATGGTGTCCAAATTAATCGGATTTTAATAAAAATCTATTTTTCTTAAAAATAGATTTTCAAAATAGCATCTGAATAACTATTTTGAGTGTGCAGAGATGCATTCTGTAGAATATTTATTGTAGTATGGTCGTGAAATTGGAAATTGCATGAACATCCAACAGTGGGAAATTGGTTAAAATATTATACATCAAAGTAAAATGATAGTATGCAACTGTTACAAATGGTAGTTATCTCTTCAGTTGCTATTTTTTTTACCTCACTGTATGTTCTAATTTTTATTAAATGAACGTATGCATTTATGGAAATAGAGAAATGTTCACATTTCATTTGTGTAGAAAATGGTGTCACTTTTCTGATTCTGCCGTGACTTCTTTTCTTCCAGGTGTGGGGGCACAGTTGGTGCTATTTTCACTTGTCCACTAGAAGTCATTAAGACGAGATTGCAGTCTTCAAGACTGGCTCTTCGGACAGTCTATTATCCTCAGGTTCATCTGGGGACCATTAATGGAGCTGGAATGGTGAGACCAACATCCGTGACACCTGGACTCCTACAGGTTCTGAAGTAAGTTCAGTCCCCTCCCGAGCTCTGTGCCGCTGCCACCCGCACACCCTCCCCCACTGTCCCATACGAAATGTTTATAAAGCACATCAGATCAGATGCTTTGTTTACAGAGTCTGTGTGTATCCAGACTTAAGATTAGGTTTCTTTACCAATACCATTGAACTCCGACCTTGCTCTCTTAGCAGCAGGGGTCATGCTGTGCATGTGATAATCATCTGGACAGTTAAAGTAAACCTAACAGAGCAGACAGAAAATCCTCCATTAAATCGTGGCATCAGATTGTCATGATTGCTTCTTAGCAAGTAGATAGATAATTTTATTCTACTAGAGTAAAATTTAAAAATTTTTAAAAATCACATGAGAAGTGTTGTGAATATTTTAAGAGGAAATAGTATGGAAATAAAATGTTTTTGTTTTTTACTTTTTATTAGGAAATAAATTTGTAGAAAAGTTGCAGTATAATGTATTTAATAATTATTTTTTAATTTCATGCCTAGGGTACCTGGCCATTTTATTATTTTCACTGCTTTAAAAATATCTCGTATGCTTACAAAGTAGCTAAATATTCACAAGTTGGATTTGGCTTATCAGTCTCTAGGCTTAAAACAAAAACTCAGAAATTCAGATGTGCACTTAGCAATATCTGGATTTTAAAAAAGATTGGGGCTTTGTCCTTTCAGAGAGATCCTCAATAAATATTACTTGAATTTAACTGAACGTGATATTAAGATCTTTGAAACTTATCATTTCAGTTAAGATATTTTTAAGATTCTCCAGCACACCTCAGATGATATTTAATAGTTTTCAAGTCAAAAAATGACTCGTTTTATGTTCAAGAAAGATATACTGCCCTTTATCAGTATAGATGTTTAGTTGGGAACTGTTTGAAAATGAGGCAGTAAAATGGAAATGCTCTGTCAGACTAATCACAAAACTTAGCACTTTGGCCAGAGTTCAGCCACATTTTAGATAAGATAGAATGAATTGGTAAGTGCTTCATTTATTTTTAGGTACGTTTTGTTTGTAAAACCTACCTTTGAGTCACTCAGACATCCATGCCAAATGTGTGTGTCGTGTATGAGCCTGTTGAGCGAAGACAGGAGAGCAGGGCAGCTGGTGGGGACAAGGACCCAAGAGAGAGAACCTGAAACCCAGCAAGGAAAGGAGAGGGAAGCTGGTATCCAAGAATGAGTTTTCTAAATTAAACATTGAGAAAGGGGAGTGGAGACACGAAAGGCAGAAGGTTAGGGATAAACACAGGAAAAATAGAAACACAGAAATGTGGAGGCACCCTTTGATCTCAGAAAGGAGAGCTACAAACCCAGGGTCCTCAAAAAGACAAGGCTGTGAAAAACACCCACATCTTGGTTTGCCTTTTGACACTCTTAGGCATTGGCAGTGCCTTAGATTGCACCTTTCTTCTGAGGAATCTAAAGTGCTTTGAACATAATGAAACAGGTAATTTGCCAACTAACTAACATTCAAAATGAACTTCCTCTTATGTGCTTGCCACATAACTCATGACTAGTGAATTTATATTTACTGTAACTGGGAAACTGTTACCCAAAAGTTGTGGGCATCAACAGGGCCAGGCCCATAAGGTAAATGGGAATGTTTCTATATTTCAAGTTTTTTAGGATTCATATTCTGCACGCCCAGGACCTCTATGTCTCTCTCTTGCCAGTAAATATCTCTGTGTGTGTTTTTCAGATTCTTCAGCCCACTTCAGCTAATATCTTTCAAGTGAAAAAATGACTTTTATATAATATGATTTTATTGATTTTTCACAACAACCTTAGCACTCAGGCATGATATTACCCGTTTCGTAAATGAAGAAACATAGATTGGCGGTTAAATGACTTATCCAATGTCATATTTGATGTCTGTTTGCTTATTTCTAAGAAAGATTTGAAGCAGCTCAAAGTAGAGTAAACAACAAAAGCCCTAGAATCGAGGCTAAGCCTCTGCTTCTTTCAAATGGAGACAGCAGTAGTAGCTCAGAGACTTTTAGCTACCTCATGTCCTTCTACCTCACTGACTGCTGCTTCTGTTTTCTTTGCTGTTTCACCAGCCTCACAACCTCTTGATGTTGGAGGGTCTCAGGGCTCAGACCTTGGTCCCCTTTAGTTATATCCAGTCCTTTGGTGATCGCGTTTAGTCTTGTGGTTTGAATACCATCTGTTAAGCTGACGGCGCTTCTTTGAGCCTCACAGTCTCCATCCAGCAGCCTATTTGACAACTCTGCTGGGTTGTTTAATGAGCATCCAAAGCATAACATCTGTGAAACTGAATCCCCCTGAACCTGCTGCTCCTAGGGCCTTCCCTGTCTCAAAGAAAGGCAACTCTATCATGGTTATGTAGCTCTAAAGTCTCAGAGTCATCTTGGCTCTTACTTCTCTAAAACCTTACAACAAATCCTGTCAACTCTGCCTTCAAAATATATCCAGAGTCTGGTCCCTTTTCACCACATTCTCTGCTGCTAATCTGGTCATAGCCACTATCTCTCTCACCTGTATCATCGCATTAGCTTCCTAACTGGTCTTCTGACTTCAGCCTTGCTGCCCTCACGATCCTCAGCCTGGTCTCAATAGAGCAGGCAGGTGATCCTTGGCTCACATCCCTCCAGAGATTACCATGTCCCTCTGAGTAAAAGCCAGAGCTATTCCACTGGCCAACCAGGCTCTACACAGCTGCTATCCCCTCCCATTACTTCTCTGACTTCATTTCTGACTACTTTTTCCCCTCTCTTAACTCCTCCTGGCTGTTCTTTCAAAGGCTGGGAACATTTTCTGCGGCAGGCCCATTGTACTCCTTTTACTTGACTGGCCCCCAGTTGTCACCTTTGCAGGAAGGCCTTGGAGCTCCTGTGCTATTTGAAACTAAACCCTCCCTCCACTCCCCACCCTTTGTTCCTGCTTTATTTTTATCCCCAGCATTTACCTCTATCCAATATAAAGTATAGTTTACTTATATTGTGTATTTTTCTCTGCTCCTCTCCACTAGAACGAAAGTTCCTCAGAGGTTCCTCAAGGTAGGGACCTTTGTTTGTTTTAATTACTAAGGTATCCCCAAGGACCTAGAATGCTGCCTGTCTCATAGTAGGCATTCAGTATATATTAAATGAATGGATTTTGAGATATTATTAAGATCATGCATATAAAAAGCTTCACACACATACACATACACACACACAGCTCCCACTATGTAAATAATAAATATTAGCTGCTATCTTTATAGTATGATAATAATATGTACTTTCTGTGCTTTTTAAACATAAGATTTGTAACAGTTTCTTGATGACCAAGGCAAAAGGGAAATGTCATATTACATAAGTCTCATTTGAAGAAATAAAGCATACTCACTCTTCAGGAAAAATTATGTCTTTCCTGATAGTTCTGAAAGCAGTCTGTTAGTAGTTTTTAAAGACAATTTACCAATATAAGAAGCATTGCTTTTGAGGATGGTTTAACCGAAGATGACTGCTTTTCATTCTACTACCTGCATGATTGCATTAACTTTCTATTCTATTGACCATCCCTTAGCTAAGAGCCCTCTTGGCGCAGTGGTTAAGTACTAGGCTGCTAACTGAAAGGTTGGCGGTTCAAACCTACCCAGCCATTCCACGGGAGAAAAGACCTGGCAATCTGCTCCTATAAAGATTACAGCTTAGGAAACCCTATAGGGCACTTCTACTCTGTCCTATACGGTTTCCAGGAGTTGGAATTGACTCAAAGACACACTACAACAAGCTAAGGGCAGGGAAGATGGTCTATAGGGAGGGGTCTTTATCTAGTTGATGATAAGACAAGGACAAGGGTCCAGGCCTTTTCTCTACCACAGAGACCATTGCAATTGTCTGTTTGCACTTTTAAAAGACATTGGGTTTATCAAAGACGCAAATGAAGAATGAAATGGTCATTCATTTAAAGCTAAGCTGCTTATTATTAGTTTTACTCTTTCAGGAAGTACTACTTTAAAAGACTTAGCAGACAACATAATTTGTTTATTGGTAATTTTTTCTTCAGAATGCAAATTGGGTGTTTTTGGTGTCTCATGTTAGCTTAAAGAAACAAAAATCCTCATAACTAGGTCAGTAAGCAACATCACGATCAACGGAGAAAAGATTGAAGTCATCAAGGATTTCATTTACTTAGATCCACAATCAACACCCATGGAAGCAGCAGTCAAGAAATCAAATGACGCATTGCGTTGGGCAAATCTGCTGCAAAAGACCTCTTTCAAGTGTTAAAAAGCAAAGATGTCACTTTGAGGACTGAGGTGGGCCTGACCCAAGCCAAGGTGTTTTTAACGGCCTCATATGCATCTGAAAGCTGAACAATGAATAAGGAAGACCAAAGAAGAATTGACATCTTTGAATTATGGCGTTGGCAAAGAATATTGAATATACCGTGGGCTGCCAAAAGAGCGAAGAAATCTGTCTTGGAAGAAGTACAGCCAGAATGCTTCTTAGAGGCGAGGATGGTGAGACTGTGTCTTACGTACTTTAGACATGTTATCAGGAGAGACCAGTCCCTGGAAAAGGACATCATGCTTGGTAAAGTGGAGGGTCAGCAAAAAAGAGGAAGACCCTCAATGAGGTGGATTGACACAGTGGCTGCAACAGTGGGCTCAAGCATACCAATAATTGTGAGGATGGCACAGGACCGGGCAGTGTTTCATTCTGTTGTACATAGGGTCGCTGTGAGTCGGAACCGACTTGAGGGCACCTAATAGCAACAACATGTTAGCTTAACCTATTAGAAAAATTTCTCCTTTGGAGAGCCAATACCTTATGTATTTATTTTTTTTGATTGTACTTTAGATGAAAGTTTACAGAACAAACTACCTTCTCATTAAACAGTTAGTACATACATTGTTTTATGACATTGGTTAACAACCCCATGACATGTCAGTACTCTCCCTTCTTGACCTTGGGTTCCCTATTACCTGTCCTCTCCTGCCTTCTAGTCCTTGCCCCTGGGCTGGTGTGCCCCTTTAGT